TGGACTAGATGACCTCTTGAGGTCCCTTCCAACCCTGATATTCTATTATTCTATGAACTCACACAGATGCACCTCTGAACCCTGGGTCCTCACTGACCAAGGATGACCCACTGTGTGTGGGGTCTGGTGAGGGAGCAGAAATGGGTACAGTAAAGGAACTTTTGGTTGTAGGATTCAAGAACATGAGGCGGAAGGCACTGCCCCACACACTCTGGGGTGAGTGTCCTGCTCACAGTTTTATGTTTATGAATCCTGCTTGTGGCACTTTCCCTAATTAATGTTGGGTGACTTCTCTCCTTTCATTTCTTTTCTACACCCAGACTCTGTGCTTACAAGTGGGGAAGTATTGCCTCTCAGAGGCACCCAGGGGTGGTGTGTAATTTTCCCAAGTTACTGGGTGGGGGCTTGAGCCAGTTTTGTGTTTTATTGTTGAAAAGGAACCTCTAGATCAGTGGTTCCCAAACTGGGGTTCATGAACCCCTGGGGGTTTGCAAAATCTTACAGGGGGTTCTTGGGAAAAAAATTCCCTAATGGCGGACGGAGCTGTCCCTAGGAACCCTGGGCAGCACGGAGCCAGCAGCCTGGAGCCCCTGGACTTCCAAGAGCTAAACAGATCAAAGCAAGTCTATCTATCACACTGAGGAGATTTAAACTGCAAGACTCCTTATAAGAAATGGAAAGGGAGGTGGATATTTTTTGCTATTTTTAAAATTAAATAGTATTGTTTTTAAAATTATTATGAAGAACAAGTTTAAGCTTTGCTGTAATGTGCGTTGTTTGCCTGGACTGCTCAAGACCTGAATGCTTGTGTAGGAGGAACTCTCTGAGTTGGCTTCTTAAATACCTTCATGCTGTTTCACATCTGAAACTCCTTGATGAAACATAGGAGTCTTGTTTTATAACAGGCTTATTCAAAGTGATACAAGCTACGAAAGTGAGATCTTGGAAGAGTGTCGCCATTTTCATAATGTAATAAAAATACTGTAATGATAAATAATAATTAATAATAGTGTGTAATAAGCATGCCATAAAAACAAATTTTATATTTCCAAGATCACTGCTTTTATAATTTATACTCAGGTAAATGAGAAAATCCCTGGAAACATTCATTTTTGGAGGGGGTTCGCGAGACTTGACATTTTAATGAAAGGGGTCCACAGGTTGTTAAAGTGTGGGAACCACTGCTCTAGATATTGAACTTGGCCCTGGTTGCTGCTGGCTCCACCTGGCAGAAGGGTTAAAATGTTATTCTAGGTAGGTGGAATCCAGTTCTCTTTGTTCCAATTTAAATAGAATCCCTGTTATATTATTCTTTTTTACAACCAGTTCTACTATCTTGCCTACCATTAAACAACATTTTATCACAGTGTAACCCCCTCCTCCCAGTTCTCGCCTGCTGAGTAAATTATACCACCTCTGTGATGGACCATTGCTAAATCTTGGTCAGTGGTTTGGGGATAGGGTACCCCTTGGATGTATTTCTAACTATAAAATGAAACCTACTCAGAGGTCAGTTTACACAAGGCGGGGGTGTCGGTGTCAGCGCCCCCTGTACTGGGAGGAGCAGGCACAAGCTAAGGGGGATGAGCTGTTGAGTGGGGGCTCTTGGGGAGAGAACGAGGGGTTAATGGGGGCTCTTGGGAAAGCAGAAGTTGAAATGTGGGGTTGGGCTTGGGCCAGGGACTGAACTTCAAGGGTTGAAGTGCTGGAGGGGGCAGGCCCAGGCTATAGGGATTGATTGGGGGAGGCTAACGGGAAGCAGAACAATGAGGGAAACTCCACCAAACCCCACTCATCTCCAAGCTTTCCTGAGCCAGTTTTAGGGCAGGTGAACAAAGTGGTTGCCCTGGGCACCAATTTCTGGGGAGGTGGTGGCACCATACCTCTGTGCTGCTCAGCTGGATTTTTTTTCCCCCACCACAGCTGCTCTGAGTAGGGTGACCAGACATCCTGATTTCATCAGGACTGTACTGATATTAGGGGCTTTGTCTTCTAAAGGACCCTATTACCCCCCCATACCTATGCTATCTGGTTACCCCAGCTCCGAGGGGAGCGCTGAAAAATTTTTTTGCTTTGATTGGCAAAACACCCAGGCCCAGTTCCGAGCAGCCTCCCAGCATTCCTCTGAACCCGTAGCCATGCCCACCCCAAATACCACAGAGGTCCAATAATCCTCAGCCCCCCTCCTGCCCAGACACCACATCTGCAGTTACATTTCGCTCCCCACAAGACGCTCCTTCCCCGCCACACACACATCCTTCTGAGGGAAACAAGGAGTCAGGTCCTGCCTCCCACTGTTTGAAGGGATCCTGTGAGAGAAATCTGTGCCACGCATGGAGCTGCATAAATCCTGGCAGCTGTGCAGGGGTGGGGGATGACTGATGAGGAAAAGCAAAGAGAAGGGATTCCTCAAAGGAAGGGGCAACAATAAGAGATTGGAAGGGGAAGAGAGAGGGCACTTGATGAACAAGGGTGCAGGGAATGTTCCTCCAGGGACAGACTAGAAGGCATGAAGCCGACAGTTGTGGAAGGAGAAGTGATGGGAGAGGACAGAGAAGCTAGTAGGAAGGGAGGTTCTAACCTATCTCCTAAGGGTGATGTATGTACAAGGCCCCATGGTGTAAGAGTCTTTAAATGCAGGGTAACACATCATGCTCATCATCCACCTTTCCATCTTCCCATACCCTCTGTGTGTAATGTAAGTAAGGTTTTTTCCCTGCATTAATCCTGTCAGAAGGGTCCACTTTATGAGTCATCTCCCTCCAAAGTGATCTGTTCAGTGCCATATCCTCTATCACACCACATGCTAACATGCCTTCCTTTAGGACATCCCATTACTTCTTCTTGGATCAGCTTCCTCTCTTTTCCCTTCCATCTTGATCTCTTGGTCTCTCTTACCCATGTAGTTGTCAGGACCAACCAATCTGAGCCTGAACTCCCTCATTTTTTCATTCATGGATGTTACTTTGAGCATGTCTC